GTGTGGGAGAGCCATGCTTCGGCACGAATGGGCCGGCTCGACCGGAGTGATACCACGGCCTCACAGAAAACCGACGTGAAGCAACGCTTGCGTTGTGTTTCGTCGTGTGAGTGAGGTTACCGGAGGCCCATTTACCTTCCCCTTCCCCAATCTCCCCAATCCCTGAATCCCCAACGATCCTCAAACTCCTAATCCCCAAAAAGCCGGTGACGCACTTGTAGCGCCTCTGGTGTTCCAGGTGTCCATGGGCGACGACGATTGCTTACCATCAGGTGATCCGTCTGCTCGTTTACCGGCTTATGCCATAAAAAAAAATCAGTCATACTCAAAATTAAAGTAAACTATCAATCATACATTTACACTATTCAGAGATTAGAATTTAGTACTATTCAGACATTTACTTGTTGCCTATTAACAGTTGCCTATTAGTTGCCTATTAGCGGCTATACTAGTCAGAAGAAAATTTTTATAATAAGAATTATAGTGCAATTGGGTAGTTTCCAGGGTATCAAAATTATAAATCTATTTAATCCGTCAGTTAGATAATGAAAAAATATTAGACACGTATTTTTTTATTTTCTCGTATTAAATTGCAATTCTTAGCTGAGATGGCGCTAAGTTTAGGAGTGGAAGGTCGTTACGTCATAACGTGCAACAAAATGTGGCACGCTGTTACGTCACACGATATTTCTAATTAATATATCGTCGAAAGTATTTAATTTTGTGAGAAAAGAAAAAGTACGTGTGTAAAGTTTTAAATTAATGTACCAGACGGACATTAAAAATAAAATTTAGGAAACTACCGTATTCTTCATTTAGGTACAGTTAGATGTAGTTGAGTCTGGTCTAACACAGACATATTTTTATTATGAAACTTTGTCATAAATAATTCCAAAAACCATTTGTTTCAGAATGTCTCAATAATATTCTTCTCGGCGGCTAAAGAAACGAATGAGCGTAAAATATCAGAAGTTAGCGAGGAATCAACACATGAACCAATAGACTCAGAAACAGATTCCGCAATATCAGACACAGAAGATCATAACTTAGACGATGATTCCGTAGAAAAAGAGGCTTTGAAACATACGGAAGAAGATATAGAATTGTTTAAAAGGCAATTGGGGGATCTTGACAAGGCTGTGAATGTTACTGCTGATAGAATAGATAGGATTCAAGAAATACTCGACAGGGTTGTTGAAAATCTAAGACTGGGCAAACCTATAGAAGATTATCCTGTTAAAGAAAACACAGATAATAATGAAAGTACACAAATAGAAGACAATGAAACTAAAGTTCGTAATTCACATGAAGTATTTGATAGAGAGAAGCTTCTAGAAGTTCTTAAGAGTCAGAAAGTAGATAGGTTAAAGAATCCTCCTAGACTGAGCGTGGGTATGATCGGGTATCCTAATGTCGGCAAGTCTAGTTCTGTCAATGTTCTTATGAAGACTAAAAAGGTGAGAACCATTTTCTATCATTTAAATATTTTCTTATAGCAAAGTTTTTATAATAATAATCTTCTCAGGTCAGTGTAAGTTCGATGCCGGGTCACACACGGCACATACAGTCGTTGATATTAGACGAAGATATAGAACTGCTGGACTGCCCCGGTCTAGTGTTGCCAGCGTACGCCGTCGCCCCGGACCTACTGTTAACCGCAGTGTTGCCAATTGATCAAGTGAGTATTGGTTTTGGTAGATTTTTTTTTATTTTAACTAGGTTGTTTTATAAAAATTATATGAAATTGAAGCTATGTAGTTTACATATTAAATTTTCATGGGTGTAATTATTATTAACTCGTCGAGTACCGGTTTTGTAGACACAATTATAGAACAATAGGTTGCGGTCACCGGTGACCGCTTGGTGTTTGACAGTTTAATTACTAGCTGTTGCCCGCGACTTCGTCCGCGTAGAATATGAGTTTTAGGACAACTTTATTTTTGTTTAAATTTCTCAAAATAAAAATAGCCTATGGGACTCCTCAAAATCGGACCAGCCATTTCCGAGATACTAACAGACAGACAGACAAATATTTAAGAAAATGTTATTTTGTTTTAGGTATCGTATGTTATTTCAATATTACAAACAGACACTACATGCCATTGCTATATTTTTACTAGATTAAAATTGTAACACAAAAAATTAGTCAAAAATAATTCATAATGTTCCAACAATAGGGCACATTTCTATCAAATCTCTCTCACGACATTCGCTTGAAAAAAAAGTGTGGTTTCAAAGAACTGCCATTACAGTACAGCTTTTTTAAAAATGTTTGCTTTTATTGTAGATGCGGGCGCACGACGCAGCGATGGCTCGTCTCTGTCAGCTGGTCAGCAAGCACACGTTCGCTGAGAAGTACGGACTCCTGTTACCAGAAGATGACACGAAGGAACCGGATTATAAACAGATACTTACTGCTCATGCTTGTAAGTGGCCATTGATTTTAATTTATTGTGCATTTTCTACCACTTATACCACGAGGAGTGCTCTGAGGAATTGTTTGACCTGATAATTGCCACATCTTTTCGCCATCGACCCTCACGACAGCATATGCATGATGGTTGGCAGGCCACAACTGGGCGCTTTTCACGTAGCTTCCTGCCTCGCACAGCAAAACTGTGGAATGATCTGTCGTCGGCGGTATTTCCGAACCGATACGACCTTCAAACCTTCAAGAAAAGAGCGTACTCCTTTTTAAAAGGCCGGCAACGCACCTGTGACTCCTCTGGTGTTGCGGGTGTCCATGGGCGGCGCTGATCGCTTACCATCAGGTGATCCGTCTGCTCGTTTGCCTCCTATTCCATAAAAAAAATAAATAAATTAATTAATTGTTTCTTAAAACCTTCATGAACCCAAATACAAAACACAAAACCGTCCTATGACATCCGACCTAATACTCGTAAAGGGATTTAGTCATTGAGGATTTGGGGTTGGGGGCAGTACCGTATTTACCATAAGGACAGTCGGGGCCCGTGGCCGGCGCCCCGTCCTGCGGGCCCCGAAACACCGACAATAGGCGTGTCGACAGGGTAAAAAAATCAAAAAAGTAATTAGTCCGTCATTAAGATCGCACGAAAATATCAGACACGTATTTTTTGTTTTATCAAATTAACAGAAGAATACGTAGTTATTCCGCATTAAAGTTAGGGAGTGGGGGGTGTTGACGTCACACTTACGGAGAAATCGTACCTAAGTGTGACGTCACACGTCATTTTAACTCAAAATATCTACATGTTTTTTTGGATACGAGAAAAAAGAAAAAATACGTATCGAAGATTTTTAAAATATCTAAAAGACGGACAAAAAATTAAAAAATAGTCGCCATGCCTATTACTGCGACAGACACCCACGTGCTACACGGTGCGCTGGAACCGGCTGCCGGGCAACGGGTAGCGGGTTCGATCTTTGTGTGTTTCGCAAATTGTGGTTTCGCGTCGCTCATTTGATGCATTCAAGAGTAACTACTTAATTTCAACTACTTAGTTAATCAGTACAATTATTATTACAAATAACAAGTACATTTTTGAATGCATCAGATGTAACATAACATCACACCTTGAATGTAACAACCACTTTTCACTATTTATGTTATGAGTCCCATGTAATAGGGGGTGAAAGGGGTGAGCCTATGCATCAGATGTGTATTATGGTAACCACGATTTTTCATTATCATTGTTTTATTTATCTGTTGTTTATTATTGAGAATAATAAAAATCTTTAAACATACATGAATGATTACCTGATTAAATGCTCCCTATCTTTTAAAAAAAGTACCAGAAAAAATATAATTAAAAGATTACTAATTATCATGTTTCATTCAGTCAACAGAGGCTTCATGACGGCAGCAGGTCAGCCAGACCAGTCTCGGTCAGCTCGCATCATGCTAAAGGAAGCGGCCAGTGGACGGTTACGTTGGGCACAATTACCGCCCGGGTGTGAACCCCAACCACTCGATGATATGCTGCAGGAGAGGAAGAAGAATGAGAAGAGGAAACCAACGCCTCGGGAAGCTAGAATGGTTGAGGTTAGTAGTAAAAACTTAATTATTATAATGAAATACTTAATTATTATAATGAAAAACAATTTCGACCATATTTTGTCCGGTCGGCACGAATGGGTCGGCTCCGGAGTGATACCACGGTGTTGTGTTCGTCGTGTGAGTGAGATTACTTGAGGCCCAATCCCTCCAATACCTGACTCCGCAACAATCCTAATTTCTAATCCCCAAAAGGCCGGTAACACATTTGTAACTCCTCTGGTAGTCTATATGTCCATGGGCAGCGTCGATTTGCTTGCCAACAGGTTCGGTGTTCGTCCCTTTTCCAATCTCCCCATCCCCAAATCCCCAATACTCAAATCACTAAGCCCCAAAAGGCCGGCAACACACTTCTCTTCACAACACAACTCCTCAAGTATAGGGTAGTTTCCTAAATTTTATTTTAATGCCTGTCTGATAGATTCATTTAAAACATTAGACACGTATTTTTTCTTTTCTCACAGAATTCAATATTTTGGACGATATATTAATTTGAAATATCGTGTGACGTCAAAACGTGCTACATTTTGCAGCACGTTGTGACGTAACGACCTCCCATACTTAAAGTTAGCGCCACGTTATTTGAGTATTGTAACTTAGTACGAGAAAATAAAAAATACGTGTTATACGCTCGTTTTACCACCTAGCTTCACCTAGCTTCACTGACGGACTGACTGACAGACTATTATTTATTTTGTATTTGTTGACGTTTCAAAAGTACCAAACTATGGTTTAATTGAAATAAATGCTTTGACTTTGACTTTGACTTTTCCGCCCTACTATAAAAAACTGTAGTATCACAATGAAAATCCAATTTTAACGTAAAATTACATTCAACACCTACTCTTATATAAGTAGAAATAGAAATACTAGGTTTACACCAAAATCCATCAAAGTTACTACACCAGTTTGGGCTAACAAGAGTTAGTACTCAATTCATCACTTTCTCAACTCAACTGGTGCACAAAAAATGAAAACTGTTACACTCCCATACATCAGTCTACGTTTTACGACCTGTTGGCGGATGATTAACAACTCAACAGAATTCAACAGATATAGATCAACCCGGCAATACACTTAGGTTTAAGACGCCCGCTTCTTATGCACGAGAGAGCGGATGCAAACTTATGAACGGCAAAGTACCAATGTGACTTTTGCCGAGTTATATGTACTTTCTAAGATTATTTAGACACCGCTGACAAACGGTGAAGGAAAACATCGTTAGGAAACTCGAGTTTATAATTTCTAATTGTAAGTTTGAAATTGCCAACCCGCATTGAGCAAGCGTGGTGATTAGCTGTGGCTGTGGATGATGATACAGTTTAAACAGCTACTCCCGCTTAGTCTCACTCGCTGCTTGACTCCTATTAATTGTAGAGTGATGTTTTGTAGTCTATTACCTTCCTCCGTAAACGGACTACCCAACAACAATTATAGGGTGGTTTCCTAATTTTTATGTTATTGTTCTTCTGGTAGATTAATTTAAAACATTAGACAGGTATTATTTCTATTCTCATAAAATTAAATATCTACTTTTGACTACATATTAATTTGAAATATCGTGTGACACGATCTCTCCCTAAACTTAACGCTATTTTATCTAAGTATTGCAACTAAATACGAGAAAATAAAAAAATACGTGTCTAATATTTATTCATAGGTAATGAATAAATGAATAAAACTGACGGACTAATGAGATTTTTAATTTTCATACATTGACAACTACCATATTATTCAATCCGAATCAGTAGTTCCACGAGATTAGCGCCTTCGAACAAACTCTTCAGGTTTCCGTTGTAGCAGTCTTCAACTTGTAGCTGCATTTAAGCCTTCAGCCTTTTGCTTGCTTCATACTTCATGTGCAAAACACCTTACTACAAAGAAACAAAATGTTCGAGTGAATGTGTTGCCCTATATTAATAATCTACGACAGTGTTGCCCTCAATAACAGTTATTATAAGTTTTAGAGCTCGTAAACACCTCGTTTGCTTGTCGATACTCAATAAATGTTTAAATATGTTGGCTTTCAATATTGTAAGTTGTTGATGATTTCAAAATTAAATTGTTCATTACCCGTTTAATATCACAAATATATGAATTTTGTAATTTCACACTGTGATTCTGTGCGTCGATAAATACCGGGGCTGGCCACGAGTTGCCGGGGCTTCAGTTCGAAGGTGTAGGAACGAGGTGATTTTTAGTCCGGCAAGAGTCTGACACTCCCTATTCGCTTCACTCAAGGTGGGAGGTCATTGGATGATTTTCCCCCCTCAAAGAAAGGTTCTCTACATACTTCTCTATTAAATACATACTCGCTGGTTATAATATCTGGCTTCTTTTATTAGACCTTTTGTTCCTTGTGATTGAGGTTACCGGATGCCTAGTTACCCCCCTCGCCAATCCCCGAATCCCCAACAATCCTCAACTTCCTAATCCTCAAAAGGCTGGCAGCACACTTAGCCCCTCTGCTGTTTCGTGTGTCTATGGGCGGCGGTGATTGCTTCATCATCATCATCATCAACAGCCTATAAGTGCCCGCTGCTGAGTAAAGCCTTTTCTTGACGCTTGCTCAATGCGGGTTGGCGATTTTAAAATAAATAATTTAGAAATTATAAGTCCAGGTTTCCTCATGATGTTTTCCTTCACCATTTGTCAGTGGTGTCTAAATAATCTAAGAAAGAACATATAACTCGGAAAAAGTCATATTGGTACTTGCAGTTGGTAGGTTTTGAAGAGAAGCGGGCGTCGGCCACCACGACATTCCGGTGATTGCTTACCGCTTACAGGTGATCCGTCTGCTCGTTCACCGGCTTATTCCAATAAAAAAAACCTTTCATTAATCCATACTTACTTACAGGGCTGGCTGAACAAATCCAACGAGATTGACAAGGCTTTCTTCGCCATGCAGAAAAGCGCCGCACACGTCAAAGGCAAACCAGTACTTGGGTAAGAATACGCATGTTACATGTCGTTACATGTCTAGATTTGCCAAACAACTATACTTAGATATGTGTAGTCGATGTACAAGTAGTTAGAATGGAAACTAAATGTTATCTATGTCTATATGTCGCAAATATTTATTGTACATGGTATTTTTAATCGATTTTCTAAGGTATCGGAGTCTTTTTATCGAGTGTTGGGCCGAAATGGCGTTATCGATTTGATTTATTCGATTCATAACATCGATTTTTTATCGATTGTTTCATGAAACTGATACAGGCGAGGCGGGCGTCGTTGATTTTGACTGGTTTTCAGTCTAATCTATTTGTTATATTCAGGGCTATTGGCTCTGGTAAACTATTAAAATATATGTACACTAGCACATACCAAAGATTTATCCGTTCTATTTATTGACAGCTATGTGAGTAATGATATGCTTACGTTCTAGATGAGCTCAAATCAATACACGCAAATCAAAATGAAACATCACACTAGAATTCCAATGTAACGTTGCCATGGCAACGAGTATAATTTTACTCTTGCAACGAACGTGCCGACCTCCAAAACAGTAAGGTGCAATATAAAAATACCCAGTTATATTGGCCAAGATGAAAGATATCTCAGCGTTATTATCAATTAGAGCTAAGGGAAACCTAAATAAACTGTGTGAAGACGAAATGGCCACCCTGGATGCCAGCCAAGTGTTAATTCATAAAGTTTGAGCATCTTTATGAGCAGTGCTAACGTCGCGAAAATTGGTATCTAACCTCGTAAGACCCGGGGCCTTTTCGAAACTTAATAAACCATGTACTATCTCGGACAAAACTAAAAGGACTAATTAGATATACTTTGAACTAGCCAGACGGCTTAATTAACTAGACTGTATTTATGACAGTACTCAGCCGTGTACACTACATACATACTGTTGACTATACTTTTAATCTTATTTCAATCTTGCGTAGTTGAATGTACTTAACGAGAGTTTATAATATCTGTGACGGCGCGCAAACTGCGTGGGCCTAAAAAATTTTTACTCTATTCAAAAACTAATGATGATATATTTTTTACCGAAATAAACTTTCTAAAACACTAAAATTTAGTGCTACTAGTCAAAATAAATCTTGTGAGTAATCAGTATTTGAATTATGAGTTTTATGTCGTAAGAAATAAGGTATATTTTATTGCAGCATTGCCGGGGCGCAATCCGCGGACACTCAACTGAGCAAACCCTGGAAGCAAGAGAAGAAACACGCAAATAAAAATAAAAGGGAAAAGTTGAGACGAAAGTATGCTCACTTAGATGAGCACTGATGTTAGAATGAGACGCAGATATGCGACTATTCCATGAGTGAGAGAGACGGCGGTATATTGAAATTATTAGCGTATTGTGGACAAAGTCTTACAATATCAGTGTTTCAGACTGCTCAGATCAGTTGTTTTCAAATATAATATTCTAAAATAAACCAGGCATTTTAAGTCCAGGTTATTGTTGTATCCTTACTGTATATCGTGTTCGGAATTCCGTAAACAAACAAAAAATAAATGCATTTAATGAGATCACATTTTGTTTTCTTTTTTTTTGACAGCTCAAAGAGATATGCTCGTGGATTTTGCCAAAAAAGATTTTCGTGAACACTCGTTTCCTTTATCGTAAAATGTTATTTTTAATTTGAAAATAAATATCTGTCAGTGTACCGACGTTCAGCCGGAACGAAAATTGGCAACACTGTAGTGTGAAAAAAAAAAAACGTTAATATTGCAATTTCAACAATGTACTAACTACTTGTTTCAACGCTCCAATCTATCAAATTAGGCGTCTTCCTTTATGATTGTGTCTTGACAAAATAAGCAATCTAACATCACCACTCAGGTAAATTCACGGTTAAAATTTATTGTAAGACTGTCGGTACTATAAACAAATGCAGATATTCTTTTTCGCAAAGAATAATATTCTATACCACCGGTATGTACCTAAATTGAGATCTGATTTCGAGTTAATCTTATTAGAAGGTTATTTGGTTTTAAACCTGACTAACTATAATTTACGCAGATCAAATGCTAGCACCTCTGGCGACGCAATAATCTCACTAAATTCAACGTTAAAGTTAAAGGTTAGTTTTGCGTCATAATCTAATGATTAAAGGTAAGGTCTTTCTTTATAGGTCTAGAAGGTGTAGACAGAACAGTTATGAACCTGATTAAAAAGAAACCTATGGAGTTTCTTGCTCGTTCATCTATATAGGAATCTACACCTTGGAATGAGCAAATAGCTTCACATTTAAATTATTTTTGTTGACGTTCAAAAGTGCCTTTCTGGTTTAATTGAGACGATGACAAGGTATGAAAATTAAACTGTCAAACACCAAGCGGTCACCGGTGACCGCAACCTATTGTTCTATAATTGTGTCTACAAAACCGGTACTCGACGAGTTAAAAACCCATTTAGTCCGTAAGTTAGGTAATGAAAAAATATTAGACACGTATTTTTTTATTTTGTTGTACAATAAAATAATACTTAGATAAAACGAATCAAAGTTTAGCAGTGGGGGCTAAAACGTCATTTCTACATATAAAATGTACATAGAAGTGACGTGACTCGACATTTCAAATCAATATATCGTCGAAAGTATTCGTTTGTGTAAGAAAATAAAAAATACGTGTCTAATGATTTAAAATAATCTACCAGACGGACATTAAAATTAAAATTAGGCATTTACCCTATTGAAATAAATGATTATGACTTTGACAGTCTATTTCATCGGTCAATGCGGTATTGCTCGTTAGCAAACTACCTCATCTTGTGTGGCGGCCATTGTTTTTACAAATGGCGATCTGTAACGCCAGATAGAGAACAGATATATAGTTTGACTTCTAAAAATCTAGAACATCTATGTGTAGACTAAACAACAACAGTTTTATACCGAGAGAAATCTATTGCACGATTTCGGGAATTTCATCAAAATAATATATACATAGGTACATGTTTTTCCTTCTCTTAACGCATTGGCTGCCGTGTCGGACAATGTTGTCCGACGCTAGCGGAGGATTAGCCTTTAACAGTTTTTGTCGGCAGTTAAAGGCTTAATTAACATCTTCTCATAGAGCTAACCAATAATGTAATTAAAGAAACTTATATGTTTGTTCGTTTTTCAGTGACTAAGGAATAACTAGCTAGCAGATATTTTTACAAACCGTGTTTTGAAGGCAGAGTACTTCTGTCACCACCCCTCTAGCTGCTAATGTGACACGAATCGACTAATCAATGCGTAGAGATGTAGTTTCGTTGTGCATCTTCTATTGCTTATACCACGGGAAGTGCGCTGAGGATTATTGTTTGGTCTGATTTCTGCCGCGTTTTTTCGTCATCGACTCTCATGACAACATCATATATGTATGTAGATGGTTGGCAGGCCACAACTGTGCGCTTCTCTCGTAGCTTTCTGCCTCGCACAGCAAAACTGGTCTGATCTGTCGTCGGCGGTATTTCCGAACTGATACGACCTTTAAACTTTCAAGAAAACAGCGTATTCCTTGACTCTTCTGGCATTGCGGGCGGAGTGGCGCTGATAGCTTACCATCAGGTGACCCGTGTGCTTATTTGCTCGTATGCCTCCTATTCCTTAAAACAAACTAAGGGACTACATATTTAATACCAGATACCTAGCAGCAGTGTCATTTAGTAAACTTTCGTAATACATACTTTTAAACTGCGACCTCCAACCTGCTTACCAAGCTGGGATATCTATCTATATAGATAACATAAACTTTTCGTTCGTTAGTCTCGCTAAAACTCTAAAATGGCTCAACCGATTTGGCTAATTTTGGTCTTGAAATGTTCATGGAAGTCAGGTCTAAAAGATGAGTAAAAGATTTTCAGTCATCTATAGTTATGATATAAAACCTCTATAGTAGAGTAGACTCATAGACCAGCAGTGAACTTTAACCTACTGATTCTCCCGAGCGAACGGCGCGTCGCGTTCCGCGCGCGCCTCAAAGAGCCATCAGACCACCACAGATGGAGCCCATTACGGCCGATGCCGATTCGGAGTCGTGGAGAACCTAACGGGTAACCGGGGCTCCGTCTCGGCGTGCAGGAGAAGGAACGGGGTGGTTTTTAGTCAGTAAGAGTCTGATACTCCCTCCCGCCTCACCCAGGCGGGAGCAGTCATTCGATGATTTTCCCCCCTTAAAAAAACCTACTGATTCTCTTACCTACGGTAAATTTCTTAGCACTGTACCAATACGACCGTCAAATGTTTGACGAATCTATTCATAGCCACGTTTCTCATTTACGGCCAGGCATCTGGTGTTCACGTCACTAGCAAATGCAGCTTTTTGGGTAATTCCGAGTAATAGTCGTTGCAATTACACGCTAGTGCCAACGTAACTCATAATGAATGCAGTGTACAGTAACCGACAAAAGCTGCGTCAAAATATTGTATGCAAGTTATGTGTTCGAAGATTTTGAGTATAAGTAATAATTATGGGGTACCTATTAACTCGTCGAGTACCGGTTTTGCAGACACAATTATAGAACAATATTGTTCTATAATTGTGTCTGCAAAACCGGTACTCGACGAGTTAAGGTGTAATGTAGATAACATTATAGGTTCGATTTTGAGCATTACATTAGGTACAATAATACCTCCCTGACTAACGAGCATTTCCGTGTAATGTAACATATAGATTCGACTTTGAGCATTTCATAGCAAAATGTCAGACATTGATGTTACAAGTTGTATCAAGATATTACACATTGTATCATTACAAGGAGCGCATTGTAATGCTTGGTTCTCCTCCTTCACTGATGTAATGCTCAGATCTGTAACGTTACATTACACGCGAATGCGAGGTGAGGGAGCACCTTTAAAGAACTACTAATAATTTTTCCTCGGGTAAATTACGAAAATTGAATTATGCTTTGAATTACTATTTCGTTGGTTTGTGTATAAGCTTTGTGAACTAAGCTTTCGTTGTTAAATTGAGTACCCAAATCTCCAATTAATAAAAAGCCGACTACGTAACTGGCATTCTAACTCTTTTGGTGTTTTGGGTGTCCACTGTCCATGGGCGGCGCCCATTGCTTACCATCAGATGATTCATCCGCTCGTTTGCCGCCCTCTGCCATAAAAGAGAGGTATCTACCTAGACTCAGATTGTGTTTCAGGCCCAATAACAAGAATTGTATAATAATTTAC